CCTAAAAGGCTCTACAGTCTGTGTGCATTTCCTCTCTGGCATCACATCTTCGGCCCTCCTCACTCGCTCCCGCCCAGTGAACAGACTTCCAACTGTATTGAACGCACTAAGCGCGATCTTTCCCTAGGGCCTTTGCATCGACTGCTTCTTTTGACTGAACAGGTATCCCCATAGCTTACTCCCTTACTTCATTCTGGCTGTTCCTTCAATGTTACCTTCTCATTGAGGCCTTCTGTGATCATCTTACTTCAGTTTTCTCCATGCCCAGCTCAACACTTCCATCATCTTTACTCCATCTCAATTTTTCCAAAGCATCTAATACTCTCTAGTTGTATACAACTTACTTATAACTTTAACTTACCTATAACTTTAACTTATAATCGCTCATGTCCAATCATTGTCCATTACTCCTTCCTCCCCCACCATTAGGGTGTGTTATGAAATCAAGAATTTTCTCTGTTTTGTTTATTGATGCACCCCGAGGCCCACTAAGCACCCAATAAGTATTTGGTGAATGACTGAATTAACGATGAGTGGTGAAAAGCTACAGGGTACAAGTCACCCAGCACAGGGACCATGGCTGAGGCTCGTGGTGAGTTTCCATGCACTTCTCGTCTCCGTGCAGCTCCATTTACTGTGCTTCCATATGGCCTTTCCTTCCCATCCAGACCATTTGCAGCACTCTTTATTCCTTCTCTAGTCTGTTCTCATCCCTCCCTCTATTGATGTAAGCATGTGAGTGGCAGGTTTCCTGGTGGAACTGTCCAACCTCTTCTGGAGGGACAAAAGCAAGGTACCATTGTATTGAACATATGTGTCTATCTATAACTATTTCTTACTTATATCTTCTTGTTTTATCCTGGAAAAAACATATTGAATTTCAGTGTTTTTTCGGGATGAGTGGTTTAAAATAGATCCACCTACTTCTTACTTATAGCCGTATTGATTTTAGGATTTATGACCCTATGTGGAATCATGCCAATCACTGAGGTAGTTAAATATCATATTTCGACAAATTTAAGATGCTATATATTGGAAATTGTACCATTATTTTATTTACCACTAAGATAGGAAAAAAGTGGTGCTGATTAAACTGTGATACAATGCTTTCTTAACATTTAACACTTGGTTGTTGCTTTGTGAGAAAATTTGTAGTTTTGATCATTCAAAACTAGACAGATACTTGTTTCTCTAACAACAGATTTGCATCCTGCTGCTGTCCTTTGCATTCCTGTGAACACATTAACTTTTGTTTCAATGCTGAATCATGGGGTAGTCTTTCTGAAGATATTCAAACAGAGGTGAACTCAACACCCATGGTAACAACCATGCCCACAGTTCAATCGAAGCGATGACATCATTAGCGCTGCACAGGAGAGCACACCTGCATGTGGACTGTGCCTCGGCGACATAACCGTCGTATCATAAAACAGGCTGTGATTCCAGAGATATTAAAATGCAAAAAAAAAGTGTCTTAGAGCCAGTTAAATGGTTTAGTAATTTAGGAATCACAGATGGGCTTTTTCCTCCTACAGTGGAGCAGGAATGAATTTGCATCCCTGAGGGCTCGGAGGGAGCTGTGACGCTCTGCATGCCTTCGCGAGCTCATTTTGCTCACTGGATATGCTTGACCATCCCAGAGGGCTGCTAGCATTCTTTTGGGTGGGGAGGGACTTAATTGTAAGAGAAATGGCTGCCGTGCTGGCATCTGGGAATTGGGGCAGCCGATTGTGCTTTTGGGCTGATACGTTCTCCTGTGCCTTACCAGGAGTGGTGGCCCTGAAATATACACTCCATGGTCCTGGGCCACTGTCGGGACACGGGTGGGATAAGTGAATTCCTCCTGCCTACACACTCTGAAAGATCATGGATCCCTGTTCATCCTTCACTTTTTCCACTTTCCTCAACCATTTCTCAAAGCTGCTGGAGGCTTGTGATGAACTTTAACATCATTCAGAGTATCACACATGCATTTTGCAGTGGTCTGAATGTTTGCATGTGTGTCCCCATGAAATTCATATGTTAAAACCGAGACCCCAAGGTGATGGTACCGGGAGGCGGGGCCTTTGGGAGGTGAGTAGGTCGTGAGGGTGGCACCGTCAAGAACTGATTAGTGCCGTTATAAAAGAGGCTCCAGAGAGCTCCCTGGCCCTTCCATCCTGTAGAGACACTGAGAGCTGGCAGTCTGCAACCCAGAAGAGAATTTTCACCGAATGTGACCATGCTGACACATTGATCTTGGAGCTCCAGCCTCCAGAACCGTGAGACATAAGTTTCTGTTTTTTATAAGCTATGCAATCTGTGGCGTTTCATTATAGTCCCAAAACAGACTAAGAAACATTTATTATTTGAAAAATAACAATGCAATAGCTGCCACTTCCAGGGTGCTTCTATAGCTGACATTGTGCCAAGTATTCTATATTCATTATTCCAAGTATTCTATATTCATTATTCCAAGTATTCTATATTTATTATTCTACTTTTTGTTCACGACAACACTTTGAAGTATATACAATTATTGCCCCATTTTAATGATGATAAAACCTGAAGCTTAGAGAGAATTAGTAACTTTCTCAAGGCCACACAACTAGGAAATAGTGGATCTGAGGCTCAAAACAGAGTCTCCTCATAATGAAATGCAGTTTTTATACAGTTCTGTATAAGAAACTTGTGAAGGTGATGAAATAAAAACACATCTGAGGAGCAGAGATTTGTCTTTCAAATTGGTGGCCAAGGCATCCTGTCCTTGTTCAAATGGTTCTTCTGTTACTGAGGAAACCTTTGGAACACTCTTCTGGAATTGTCTTCAGGACCCATGTTTTGAGTATTTTATTCGTTCTTTCAGGTCAGATCAGACGGTTTAGAGGACTCTAATGAGGCACGTCTGCTGACTGAGCTGTTGGATAACTATGATCAACCCAGTGACACCGTTTTCAGTCACAAAGAAATGACCACAGATTTCTTGAGTTGGCTGTAAACCGAAGCAGAGGCCTCCTTAGGATATGTGTGATCTCCCTTGGGGAGTGACGATTTGAGGGATACAAGATGTTTATGGAGATGCGATTATCAGAGGTTAAAAGACAGTCAGAACCCACAGTGACTTCATTTATCAATATTAGCAATCTGAGCTGCACTTACGTTTTGTTGGTGCACATTGGGGACTGAATTAGCTGCTCGAGGCAGCATATGGCTGCTAGAAGGATTTCTTGTGGTCCTTTTATTGCGTCCCCACCGAGTGTAAAAAGCCTATTAATTAGGCAGACTTCAGGCTTGGTGGCCATATAAGTTAGCCCCAATTGTCCTATATCCACCACTCATGGTGTTCATGTTAATCCCATGCTCTCTGAAGGCATTTGGGCTTCTGATCCCTGGTGTTCATGCTCTTTTGTCCCAGGAAACTTTGAATAGAAGGCATCCTTCTGCTCAAAAAACCCTCAGGGTATTTCATGTGCCAGTTCAAACGCCCTTTAAGCTACTCCCAGCTAAAAATACTTCTTCCTTTTCCTGAATTTTTATAATATTTCCGCAAGCCTCCCCTTGCACTCCTGATCAGCTGTCGTCTGTTGTAGCTCTTTGTGAAGAGTCCTCATCTCCTTTCAGAGGGTGTCTCCTTGACCTTGGGGAACCGAGGCTCTGGCTCTTCAAAGAGACCCACTCGCTTTTGGAAACAGCAGAAAGTACTAGCAAGTGTTTGAACCTCTCCCTTCGTACTTTCTCCTCACTTCTCCACCAGCCCTGATCGCCTTGACTTAGGGCTTAGTTTTGGGTTCTGATGCTTCTTACGGACTCTGCCTAGTTTTGAAGATTCTTGTCTTACTCACCACAGATCTCTGGGGTTGACCTGCCTGGTGCTTCAGTAACTCTGTTCATTCGAGACCTTGATGACCGATTTCTGCTTCTCACTATGGGATCCGGGGCTCTGTCCACCTCTTATCTTGAGGCTGCTACCCAGAAGGAACCACACTTATGGTCGTGGGAAGAACTGGGATGGAACTGAGGATGGGAGTCCATGGAGCATGCACCTTTGTTGCCACCTAGTACCTAGCACTGTTCTTTTATGGGCAGAACCTTGATAAAAATCTGTTGATGGAATGAATTAAAAATGAAACTATGGTTCTAGCAGCATCTCCTGACGTGGAAGGACGTTTACTCAGCTAATATTGGGTGTGCTTCCTCAGGTGAGGCACCATGGTGGGCGCTGAGGATTCAAAGATGGCAAGGTGGAGGCTCCTCCCTCAAGGAATTCACACTCCACTGGAAGTCCAGAGTTAGAGAAACGTCTGGGTGGTCAACTTGGACAGAGATGGTAGAGAACCTATGAAAGTGTGGGCTTTAATCCCAGGTCCAGTTCCAAACAAATCCTGAATATGTAGGGGAGTTACAACCTCTGAGCTGGAAAAATTCCTGAGAAAAATCGGAAAACTTAGCTCTTGAGTCTTGATGCTGGCTGTAGAACTGTGGCTTCTGAGGGGAGGGGAGGAGCCAGGTGAGGGATTTGGCATGGGGGCAAGTGGAAAACCCACGTGAGTCATGAACCGGTCTCCCAGGGCTGCCCGTTCTACCCTTGGGTTAAATTTTTCTGGGATACTGGTTAGAAAAGGAGGGTTTTTTTCATATGGGAATTAAAAACATTGCACGTCCTCCTGGAGATCAGGCTCTTTTATCGGCATAGCGCAACTTGTAAAATAATGAAATCCGTTCTGATGTGCAACTGAAGTTCTGAATCTTTTGGAGACGGGGCCCCAGCCTTACCAGTAAACTGAGCTTTTACTTAACATCACAGATGGCATGGTCAGCAGTTTTTGATTATGAAGCAAGCTCTACAAAAGTAGAACAACCAAAGTGATCTTCCTCTGTATTGAACTGTACGTTATCTTTCACAGCATCTCTTTGGAGAGGCGGCCTTGAGGGCTGGAGTAAGTAGGTTATCCTCTCATCTAACCAATGCGAGGGGCTTTGGCTGCTGTGAGTGACACTGGCCCAGAGCCGGGTGGACGGAAATGTGGGTAAGTTGCACTTTGAGGTCTGGGTTGCTCTTTGTCACTCTGTCTCCTGCCGTTGTCAAGCACAAGCCAGCTGCCACCTCCAAAAGCTGCTACCCGTGGGGAACACTGTCCGGAGCTGTTGACATGCTGTGTGTCAAGGCGGCGTGGTTCAAAGCAACAATTCCAGTAAGTATTAGGCTCTGCTTGGAATGATGACGTGGAATTCTGGATAAAACACTTGTAATTCTGGATAAAACTTATTTCTCTTTGTTTCATTGTAGGAAGACCGCATAAAAAAATACGATTATTAAAAAAGAAAACAAAAAGGCTATTTATGGTAGGCTATAGGGTCTCTTCCTTTTTCATGCTTCTACTTGTTTGATGCTTTTTTCCTTGCATTTTAATTTTTCTGGATGGTCATTAAGTAATAGTCAGGGGGATGTTTCTGTGACATTTTACAAACGCTATTCATGGTTTACCTTATGCAATTTCTTTTATCTTATTTATAGAAAAACTGCAGATTCAAGGACAGCTTCTGTCCTTCTTCATGGAAGATGTTTTTGGTCAACTCCAACTACAAGTTCGCAGGGAAATACACTTTGTGGAAGAGTTTCACAGCCTTAGGCAGAAACTGAGCCGCTGTCTAAGTACGCACTGCAAATACCGGGAGTTTGATCCTGGAAACCTACCTAGAAAACAGCATGTAGAGAGCTGTCTCCACACCGAGGGGTGAGTACAAAGGGCTTGTGGTCCAGATGGAGAATCCTTCACCAGGGAAACAGCATCAACTCATAATGGCACTGTTCACGATTTCTTAAGGAATAGCACATAAAACATATTGAAGAGAGGTAAAATAACATGGAAAGCTCCTCAAAAAATGTTTATTTTTTATCATGCCCTCTTTATATGATTCCCAAGTAATTCCTTCATTCATTTAATGAATATTTCTTAGGCACCAACTATGTGCCGAGCGCTATTCTAGGCTGATACTGCTTTCTTCCTCTCTCTGTTTCTTTCCTTCTTTCTTCCTTCCACCCTTCCTTCCTTCCTTCTTTCCTTCCTTCTTTTTCTCTCATATTGATGAGAGATTTTAGATTGCCTTTTTCTTATTTATTTATCCAATTTTTTGTAGTTATATTCTTTTTAAGTCATAGTCACAGTCAAAACTTAAACAACGGCATATGTCTTCTTTGATACCTGAATTATTTGATGCTACAGTATGGTCGCGGCCACCATAAGTAATGGGGAATTAATTAAGAAAGCAAAAGTGACCACATTTCTCTGAAAACATCCATAGTAATAAAGACAAGTACAGAAAAAACCCCCCCAAAACAAGCATAAGCCAATATCGGATTTGTGCAATATTAGGTGACTTTCCTCTGTGGGGAGTGTTGATCTTTTCTGTGACCTTGTCTGGGTTCCAGGCATGCTTTCTGCTGCCCCCTGGGCTGGGCCTTACAGGTGCGCACAGGTAGGGGGGTGCTGATGACTTCAGTCCTGGGGGTGCCCAGTGGAAACGAGCTGCCTACCTTTGGGCGTCATGGTCATTGAGACTTCAACGCTGGGCAGTTAGAGGTGGATTTTTATCCTTTAAGAGTTAGGATGTTTTTTCCTTTTTTTTTTCTTGTAGTCCATGAAGTGCTCAGTAACTCAGATTCCGGTCCATGATACAGAGAATTTTTATGAGGGTTAGGTGGTCAGATAGGTAATAAATTTCAACAAATTTACGTTGTCTTTTTCTTTGGTTGGTTTGATTTAAGTTGTGTCCTTGTTTAGGACTTGGGTTGCGTGGCTTTTCATAAACTGTCCTATTCCACTAAGGTGACAACAACAAGAAAAATTACAAAGCGGTCCCTCTTCGTAGAACACAGAGAGAACGCCCGGGGCCGGTGCCCTCGCCTGAAATAGAGGGAAGATCATTGCCCCTCTGTGCTTTATTCTGTACTTAACCTATGAAGTCACCTCATAAGACCGTGAATAGTATTAATGGTCTTAGATTAAATCGTTACACAATTTTATATTTCACTTTGCCCCCAGCTGGTTAGGTTATTATTACCCCAGTAAGAGTTTTCACCAGTAGACCCGGAGGGGAGAACAAACCCTCAAGGACTTAATGTTTGGGGAGATGGTGGGATGGTGAGGGTCCCTGCAGGCGACAGTGGAGTCCTCTGAGGGACAGCAAGCTTCTCTCATGTCAGCATCTGCAGACAGGATCCTCTTCAGGCTTTTTTTCTTTGTTTTTTTTTTTTTTTTTTTTTTTTTAAAGTACTTTCTGTTTCTCTTTCTGCTGGAGATCTTAGTTCCTCTGTGTGGGTGCTGTCCAGGCATGAGCCATCTGATTTAATTTAATGTTATCCTGATGAAGTTTGTTAATGACGGCGAGGCGCTGGAGGAAATCTTTGCCTGACACAGTACTGTGTATCTGGACACTGGAGCCCCAAAAGCCACGTCTGTGTTTTGCCCTTAATTCAGTTTCCTTGGGTCGAATAGCCAGAGAACACATAACGACAGCTATAACAGATCCAAGCAATGTTCTAGATGAAAACTTACAAAGCGTAGAACTGCCTGGGAACTCTGGTTTTCCTCGGTTTGTTTTTGGAGGAGCTTTTTCCCATGGGACCTCGGTCTGTTAACAGTGATGCTTCTTTCAGGGCCACACAGCAGGATGGGCGCCGGGTGGCACCTGTCACGCTGGTTGTGGCGGCTTTCCAAAGCGGCTGGCTCCCCCTTCTGGCCGAATGCTAACACATCATCCAGTCGCCCTGGCACAGCCTCCTTCCTGAAGCCGGCGCTGTTGGCTTCTGTTCCCGTCTCTCAAGCTCTGGGGTACACCAGCCACCTCTGGGGAGCTGCAGAAGAGACAGTCAGAGGACGGGCCTGAGCTCTGGCAAGCCTCTGCAGACGTTGCTTTAGGGAAATACGTGCTTGCCTTGTGTTTAATCTTTTGCCCAATCAGAATTTTATATTTTTGGCAAGAGAAACTGGTGTCTGTTTAATATAAATTCACTGAGCATCTGCCTAGGTGGAATTCTACACTAGTGGTTGGGGCAGGGTTTAGCAGGGAGAAGCTATAAAATATGAACTAGGCAGCATTAACTTAGCTGTGATACTTTCTTAATAAAAAATGGGCACTAAATATAGTCAACATATAAACAGCCAATATTTAGAAAATAATTACACTTGCTGTATTTCCCTTGTTGACTTGGTATTGGGGCTGTTACAGGAAAGATGCGTAAAACACAGACCTTGGCCTCTAGGAGTTTTACAGTGTGTGTGTGTGTGTTTGTGTATTGTGTGTGTGTGTGTGTGTTGATAGGAGGATTCTAGGTGGAAGGAAGGGGAGTGCCAGGTAACTTCACAAACAGTTACAAGAGGAGGACAGGAGACGTGCTGTCGGGACAGTCCTAGCAAAGCTCTGGGGATTTGGAGCAGGAATGCTCACGTCTGGACGGACCAGGAAAGGTTTCAAGAAGGAGGGAGGGGCTTTGAGAGGGGCCCTGGATTCTGTGGGTTCTATTTGCACAGAACCTTAACATATTTCAAAACTGGTCCAAGCCTTCTTGCACGATCTGGAAACAAGAGGAAATGGCCCAACCCCTGTTTCCAGCATCCAGAACTCTCGGCTAACGCTCAGGTTAGCGTGATAATATAGGCTAAATAGGATGTCGAGGGTTTTATTAAAAAACCAGCAGTGCATTCGTCATGTTGTTTCCAGAGCTAAATGCTATCTGAGTTCAAAACAGTTGACTTACATACAGAATTTTGGCATATAGTCCACTCGCTTACCACCGTATGTATTTGGGATTTGAATTAACGCCAACAATAAAGCGTTAGTGTGTGCTCTTCTGAAAATCATTTTTCCCCTCAAAACTTGGAAAAACAAAAAAAGCAAAATATATGATGCAGATTGCTCTGTATAATTTGTAGAATCCAACAATTATTTATTTTGTATCTTAATACGTTGAAGACACTTGTAAGGATTACTATTGTTCTTTATAATTTGTTACCTTGTAAAGGTATTTTTAAATGTTCTAGTTCTATGTGGATATTTTATTTCTGTTGCCACTTTTTAATGGACATCCAGAATTGTTAAACAAAAAAGATTACTATGCTAAAGACACAAAGAGATTTTAATTTTCGATAATACCTTTGCAGATCATATTCTGCCCTATTTTACCAAAAAGGCTTTCACTCTGGGTGAATTTGTTGATTATACACTGAACTAACTGGAATTTTTCATGTATCAAGAGCAAAGTACTAAATTCCTCCTTTAAAATTGACGGTGAACTTCCTTGGTGTTATTAGGACCATTTGGGTCAGGGAAATATTCCAGTCTCGGTGATGGAATACCGATGTATTGTATGACCAAATCTCATTAGCTTGGGGGTATAACCTGAGTTATATCTGAGTTATCCTTGGTGGGGGTTTTGCATCATCAGAGAAAAAACTTAACAACTGAGTCTATACCATCAGGAATTAGACGATGGATCACATGCTGTCAGCCGGGCGTGATCAGTGTTTCTTCCCTTGTTTCAGTTCACATGGAGCCGTCAGATCACTGGCTGTAGAGAGTGGCACAACTCTTCTGACATTAATACCACCAACCAACAATTGGACATTTCTAGACTTTAGATTTCTTAGTTCAAAATTCAGATACAAAACTAAAATGTCCGTGGCAAGTAAATAGTGCTGGTTTTTCCCCTTATTTGTTCTTTTCCAGATAACTTGGTGCCACTTATTACTATGTGATGAAGGCAAGGAAATACATAATTATCCACATTTTGAGGGTTGATGGATTTATACTTGATGGGCAGCCACTGTGTGGCTGGGACCAAGGGTTTTTCTTCCCTTCTTTCATTCCTTATTTCTTCCTTCTTCCCTCCCCCATCCCTCTTTTCCCCAAACATATTTTCAGAATATTCCGTGTACCTTCTCTAGGGCAATTTGCTAAATTGTCAATTTGCCAAATGGCCAACTTTTTGAATCCATTGTTTCTTTTACTTATTTGGGTTTCATTGATTGGCTTTTATTTTATCTTCATATGAGAGAATTCCTTCTTTTTAAGGAATATTCTAATTTGTCTCAGTTCCACATTCCTGCTTCTGGAATTGGAGACTGACAGTAGAGAGAAGGGGGACTGGGGGAATAGGGGAGAGTCAGAAGAAGTGAATATTTTTGAATATGCAGAATTCTTAGGAAGACATGTAGCATTGGTATATTCTTATGCACGGAAAGAATGCCTTTGTAAGAATTCTCCAAAGTCAAGATGCATTCAAGTATATGTACCAGTTTCAGTACTAGAGAGACACTAGCTGCTATAACAAATCCTCCCACAAATTTTAGCAGCTTCCCATTTTAGAACTTTATTTCTTACTCATGTAAAATTTCAGTTGGGATTTTTCTGGATGAAGTGTCTTTCCTCCACATTATGACTCAAGGATCCAGGCACCTTCCACATGGCAGCTCTGCCTTCCCCAGGTCTTTTGCATTCAGCCAGGCCAAGGCGGATGAGGGCAGGAAGAGGACATGTCAGCTACTTATAAGCCTTGCTCCCACAGGACACCTGTCATTCTGCTCATATTCCATTGGCAAGAACGGGTTGCACAGCCACAGGAAGTGCAAGGAATCCTGGGAAGTGTAGTCTAGCTGATGGCTAGGAAGAAAATGAAATAGATTTTGACTAATAGCCAGCAGTCTAGCTATCCAAGAACTTTTCACCGTATATTATATGACCAGGGCCATGCTTAGCTTATAGGGTATGTTGGTGCAAATTAGAGAAAGAATATAGCTTTGTGTGAGCATGGGGTAGTGAACGGAACACCCCCTTAGACTGAGCACTCGTGCGCCCTCATCTGGACAATGGTACAGGGCGGTTCTGTTCATGAGTGCAGTCAGCGAATTGTTTCTCCTTATGAATATATTCTTCTCATGAATAAGAGTGGAACTGAGGCAGACGAAAGTTGAACTTTCCTTGAAGTGGTGTTATAAGGACAAATGAAAACCCAATCAACTGAAACTAAATGGTTAAAAGAAACAGGTAAATGTTGTGATTTGACTTTCTGCAAATCGGCTTACAGCAGCTTGGGCTGCTTCCGTATTTCCAGGTCCTGTGCTGGTGCTGGGTAGGAAAGGCCGGTACAGTTCTGTCCCTACTCTCCAGGGTCTACACTCTTCCTGGGAGTGGTGTAAACAGAGAAGGTCAATGGACCGCGAGCTGCGACGCCTGGGAAGGCTGAGTTTAGGGTCTCACGAAGTTACTGTGGAAGCACAAAGGAGGATGTCATTAATTCCGTCTGCTCCGGGGCTTGGGGTGTGTGCAGGGAGAGACTCAAAAGGGTGTTACTGAAGGAGGCAATGACTGAGTTTAATTTCTGGGGAATAAGGGGCAGGAATGGCAGGGGAGAAGCTTGAACAAGGGCTTGATGGTATGAAACACCATCCCGTATTCAGGAAACTGGATATAATTGGGTATGAATGTAAAGTGACTTGGGGAATGTGAGGAGGAGGCTGGTTGGTTGGATTTTAGCCAGGAGATGCTGATGGGGGCCAGGTGACGAAAGGCCTGGTAAGACTGGCTGAGGAGTTTGGATTGTATCCTGAAGAAAATGGAAAGTCGTTGGATGGCACAGCACGATGAAATATTCTATGTTTTAGGACGATCTCTTTGGTGACTGTAGAGGAGTGTAGATAGGGGTGAGACTCGAGGCAGAGGAGTCAATGAGAAGAGCCTTGCAATCATGCGCCCGGACTAAAGGGGTGGCACACTCTGGGACGAGCCCACGCTTTCTACTCAAGGGCTGGCTGGTAGTGGTGTCATTTACTGAGTGCAGAGGCAGAAGGCCTGGAGGAAGGTAGGCAAGTTGCTTTAGACCTGCTAAAAGCTTGAGGAGTCCATGCGCAAGGATAATCATGCATAGGATGTATGCTCTCCCTGGATGTTTTGTGTATTTGTAAAATTTATGATGCATTTATTAACGGATTTGTTGACACATAATCAGCATACAATTAACTGAATATTTGAAGTGTGTAATTTGGTAGTTTTGACTTGTATACACTTGTGAGACCACCACCACAATTAAGATAATAAACACATCCATAACCCCACAAAATTTCTTTGTGTTTCTTGGTAACCCTCTCCCTGTTTGCCCCGTCCCTCTGGCCCCAAGGAACCACTGATCTGCTTTCTGTCACTATAGCTTTGTCTGCATTTCCTAGAATTTAATGTAAATGGTATTATATGTGTTATACTCTTTTACGTCTGGCTTCTTACATCCAGTGTTATTTTGAGATTCATTCACGTTGTTGAGTGTATCAATAAGCCCTTCTTTTTGATTGCCAAGTAGTATTCCACTGTAAAGATATATTTCCATTTATTTCTCTATTCACCCATTGATGGATATTTTTTTTTCCAGTTTTTGATCACAAATAAAACTGCTATGAATATTCACATACAAGTCTTTGTTTGGGTAAATACCTAGGAGTGGAATGGCTGGATCATAGGTTAGGTGTGTGCCAAACTTTGTAAGAAACAGCTAAACTGTTTTCCAACATGGTTGTGGCATTTTACATTTCCACCAGTCATGTTGCCCAATATCCTTGCTATCACTCACTGTGGTCAATGTTTACAAATGTTAACCAGCGTGGCTGGAACCTAGTGGTATCATATTTGTTTTCGGTTTGCATTTCCCCAATCATTAACGAGATAGAGCATCTCTTGATTTGCCTATTTATCATCTATATATCTTCTTTGCTGAAGTGTCCAAATATTTTGCACCCCCAGCCCCCTTTTTAAAATTTGATTGTTTTCTTACTGAGTTTTGAGTAAGTTTGTTTTAAAACATATTCTGGATACAAGTCCTTTGTCAGATATATGATTTGCAAATATTTTCTCCCAGTCTATGACATCTTTTCATTATCTTAACAGTGTATTTTGAAGAGAAGAGATTTTAAATTCTGTTGATGTCCAATTTATCAATGTTTTTCTTTAATGAATCATGCTGGCGAGCTGTAGGGAGGCCGAGGGAGAGCACAAAGATGGCATCTCCTGGCCTATGTTCCCTGAGAGCACCTCCGTAGCCTTTAGATTTGTGGTAAATCTGAAGCCTGTACTTAGGCTGAAGCTCCAGGTCAAGTAAATGGCCTTTTTCACAGGAAGACTGGGGTGTGTTTTGGTCTGCTGTCCGTGCCGTGCCCTGGAGATGATAACCTGTCAAGAGCTGTCTCTCTGATTTTTCCTTTTCACAGGGCCCAGAAACATGAGGCTCCATGGACAGACACCACAGCTGGTGCCCACGGCGTCCCCTGTGTGGACCGTGCAAGCCTGCTGGCTTTAGCGGATCAGTGGGCGTGCTTGGTAATTTTTCTTTGAATATCAGACATTATAAATTTGACCTTATAGGGTCCTAGATAATTTTTGTATTTCTGTAAATATTATTGACCTTTGTTCCAGGACACAGGTAAATTATTTGAAAGCAGTTTGATTCTTTCAGATGTTGTTTTCAAGTTTCGTCAGTTAGGACCAGAGCCTTGCTTAGCTCAGTGCTCATTTTGCCCCATGCTGAGGCAGCATGCTTCTGTCAGCTCTACCCAGTTCCCTGTGGCTGCTGTTTCCCCTCTCCTCTTTTTCCTCCTGCTTCTTCTTGCAATTTACTTGTTTAAAAAATCAGGTTATTTGTCTTACAGAGCTTCTCATACTCTGTAATTTTCTGATTGCATTTTCATCGGTTCACTGAATATATTCTTTTATTTTTTTAAGTAATTTTTCTTTTTAAAGATTGGCACCTGAGCTAACAACTCTTGCCAATCTTCCTTTTTTTCTTAAAGATTGGCACCTGAGCTAACAACTGTTGCCAATCTTCTTCTTTTTTTCCTTTCTGCTTTTTCTCCCCAAATCCCCCCAATACATAGCTGTATATTCTAGTTGTGGGTCCTTCTAGTTGTGGCATGTGGGACGCTGCCTCAACGTGGCCTGACAAGTGGTGCCATGTCTGCGCCCAGGATCCGAACCAGCGAAACCCTGGGCCCCTGTAGCGGAGCGCGTGAACTTAACCACTCGGCCACGGGGCCGGCCCAATATATTCTTTTCTTATTTCCCATAGATTAGTAATTACATATAGAGACTAGATCAGATTCAGTCTGAAGATGCTTTAAAGATTCCTGTAGATCTCAAATACTCTCAGACTGTATAGGGAACCTATAATTGCTTAGTTGAATTCATTAAATAACATACCTAATTGCTAGTGATCAACGTTGAAACTGAGAAAAAAAATTCCATTAGTTTTCAAGATTTCTTCATCTACTTTAATCAACATTTTGAGAGCCTGAATAGTAATTGGTAATTAGAGAGATACATTTCTTTATATTGATCGTATATAATTAATTGTGAAGTCTGACAAGTCTTGGCAAATAGAATATTTGTGTTTCCATTTCTTATAGCATACCTGATAAGTAATTTGTATCATCAGTTGCAACTAGCTTATCTACTTGTGAAGCATTGCCAACTATTTATCCTTCTAATTTCAAATATTTTTCTAATTACAATTGGTTAACTGATAAAACTAGAAGTAGGAAGTGAGACCAACCCTGTTCTGGTGTTTCCTTAACTGCGGAATCCAAAACCTGTCTTCAACCATACCAATAATCTCATCTTGTGGTTGTTGGAAGAATTAAATGAGATAATACAGAAAAGGGTCTAGCATGCAGCAGTTCTGCAAAATTGCCAGTGTCTTTCCTTACTGCTTTCCACACACAGAATACTCATTTTCTTCCAAATACATTTTCTCCACAATTTCCAAAGGAGTGGTTCTCTTAAACAATCAAATACCTTTTTAGTGCCTAATGTTAGTGTCGACTTCCATAATGTGTATAATATACAGTAGTACTCTGATTGACAGGTAAAGAGGCAATTCGTTCCTGGTAAATATGTTTTCTAATTTTATTATAGAATCTCCTTGTTGACAAATTCATTCCTTGGTTAATAATATATAACTTCTCCGTCAAATTGTGGGCACAGCTCTATCACTTCATGTACTAAATTGCATGGACTTGTTCTTTTTTTTATTGAGATATAATTGACATATAACATTATATTAGTTCCAGGTGTATACCATAATGATTTGATATTTGTATCAATTGCAAAATGATCACCACAATACGTCTAGTTAACTTCGTTGCATGGACTCATTCTGATACATGATAATTATGCTGAGGATTTATAAAGTTATGCTATCCTAGTATCTTTTTGTATTTAAGGTATTTAGAACTCTTCCTAGTTTTTTTTCTATGATTGGAAAATGGAGAAATGTTTTGTGAGGGTCTAAGATTATTGTAGGTAAGTGAGATTATATACACTTATTTATGTCAGATGATTCTGCTAGTTATAGAGAATAGAAAAATGGCATCATGCTTGCAAATTCTTCTGATACATATTTACTCAGGTACTGGTTATCCACCATTTGTTTTTTAAAATTAAATGTCTGACTATGAATTTGGTTTTGAAGAGACACTGGTTTATAGTTTAGTTACTCTTTCCTTCTTTCATGCAACCTCCTTGGTTGCAAATATAGTCACGCTTTAATTTAATTTAATTAACTTATTTTTTGAAGTTTGTTCTTTATTGAGGTAACTGGTTTATAACATTATATAAATTTCATGTGTACATCATTATGTTTCAATTTCTGTGTAGACGACACCATGTTCACCACCCACAGACTCATTGCCATGCATCAGCACACAGGTGTGCCCTTTTACTCCTTTTGTCTTCCTCCCGGCCTCCCCTCTGGTAAACACCAATCTAATCTCTGTAGCTATGTGTTTGTTTGTTGTTGTTGTTTTTATCTTCCAATGAAATCTTGCCATTTGTGACAACAATAAACTAATTTTAAAATTTTCTTTCTGACTTTCCTCTAAACCTTTCTGGTCTCAGTGGTTCTGTGTTAACGTCCTAGTGCCCACACTTTCACCAAGCTGACATTTAATTTTTTTAAAAATCTATTTTCAAAACAGGCTACACTGATATACTTTTCTCAATTTTTATTTTAAATGCACCTCAGAGGCTGGCCCCGTGGCCCAGTGGTTAAGTTCCCTGCTCCACTTCCACGGCCTGAGGTTTGGGCGGTTCGGATCCTGGGGACAGACATGGCGCCGGTCACCAAGCCATGCTGAGGCGGCATCCCACATAGCACAACCAGAAGGACCTACAACTAGAATATACAACTATGTACTGGGGGGGCTTTGGGGAGAAAAAGGGGAAAAAAAAGGAAGAAGATTGGCAGCAGATGTTAGCTCAGTGCCAATCTTTAAGAAAATAAGTAAATAAATAAATGCACCTCAGATAATATTTGTAAGACATCACAGGAAAAACTGCAAGAAGTTACTAAGATTTACTTAAAACTCTACACCTGCTGCCATACAATAAAGTTAAGTTAATTTAATCTTTAATTCAATCCCGTATCTATCTATTTTTGGGGAAAGTTAGTTTCAGGAAATCAAGGCCATGGCCAGAGTACGAACTATCTTAACCATTAAGGTCAACTAAAAAAAATAAATAAATAATCCACACAAATCAAAAAGAGATGGTGACAGCCCGGTGTGAAGTTGTATGCTGAGGGAGATAAAATATAACAGATTTCACGTGTGGTTTTACACTCCTCCCGTGAGGGTGAGACTGCGAGGTTACTGTATATGTTTATAATAGGATATAATACAATAAAACTCTTTTCGTCGGAAGGATCTGAGGTGTTCTTTGTTCGAACAAAGTATGAGTAGTTCCCTCTCCAAAGGACGGTATCGGTGCGCAGCTGGCCCCTCACTGACCCACGTGCTTCACTTCCTCGGAATTATCAGTGGTGAGAGATTTTCCATTTTCACTTAGCTGTCATACACAATACCAGTTTGTGTGATTTTTCAAACATGTGAGGATATTGGGGACACAAATTAAGGATTGTACTATTTGTTCCTCCCATTGTTTTAAGCAAAGCGCTAATGCTGATGAACGCCTAGGACACGCTTCAAACTCTTATTAAGCCAGCAGGCTTCCTGGACCCTGAGCCGTCAGCTGGGGCTTGCATTTCATTCACTCATTCATTCATTCAGCAAAACCTCATTGAATATCTAGTATTTTCTGAACGCTATTCCAGGTGCTGGGGGTTGAACAAAGATTGACAGGTAACACCCTTGTCCTTACAGAACTCCTTGAACACGCTTTCAGCCAGTCTCAGACTGAGACAGGGGCTGTGCTCCGGCGGGGCTGGAGGCTGGGGGCCACGTGCAGGTTGTCGAGTCTGGGGTTTCAGCTGGGACTGGAAGGGTGTTTAACCTCTCTGCTCTCTCCAGCCTCGGAGCATCCTGCTTCCTCTGCCTGCCTGTCCCATCTCCCTGCTCCTTCTGCTCCATCTTACTCGCGCTTTAAAGTGCAACTCATTTGTCTTCTCCTTCTGAGAGCCCACAGTTGATCGCCTCTGCTCTGTCCCCCAGAACAGTTGTGTTTTTTTTCTTTTGTGAATCACAGTATTTATCACATAGCACTGTAAATTTGCATCACTGTCTGTCTCAGTACACTGTGAGCCAGCACTTGTGCCCAAGGCGATTTTCATCTCGTCGGGTACTTTTATAAACTGAATAAACCAAGGCTGGGTGGGCATGGCTAGCGTCTGGTGAGTATGCAGTAAAACGTATTGACTTGACGATGAGTGATTGGGCCGTGGCCTCGGGTTTGTTCCGTGACTATCTCACGCTTCTCTTGGAGGCGGTCCTGGTGATTCCAGCCTACTGTAAACGGCCTCTAGTCTAGATGGCGTCTGCTTTGGCTGTTTCTCAAATCATCAGCCGTTTCTGCAGTGAAACTGCTGACCCTTCGTTGTGCATTCTGTTTTCAGCAAATGCAACTATACACAGAAATAAAAGGTAAAGGAAACTATTCTTTTACAAACTCCTCCTTCCAAGCAGACCAGTCTGAATACGGCAGTAAAATCTGGCTGTCCCATCGGGGCTGTAGACATCTTTAGAGCAGTGAGGAAAATGAGAACCTTCCGCGTCACATCTTTACCGGGATCAGCTCCAGGAAGTGGAGCTGGAGGCACCAGAGAGCGTCCCATAGGCTCGAGTGGCAACAGTGGAATTGGTAAGTGTTTTTGCTTTTTGGCCAAACTTAGTTTTTCTCCTTTTCTACTCACCTCGTTCCTCCTAGGACAGCGTGTGCCTCGATGGAGCGAAGTCAGAGGCCTTTCTGGTCCTTCCCACCTGCTGTAGGGCGCACTGTGGGTCCCAGCTCTCTGGCAGAGGGCAGAGTCCACAGGAAAGCCTCAGTGATCTCTCGTTTCTGTAAGAACGGACAGCGTTGCGTTGGCTTCTTTGGTCTCCCCCTCTCAGTGTTAAATCTTTAAATCCTAACACGTGTATATTTTGTATCGTCCATGTGACTTGTTTCTTCTGTGCTTTGTAATTGATCCCTGCATCTGAGAACTTTGATATACTGCCTGGAAAGTAGGCGAGTATTGATTCTGCTTATGAAGTCCCCTTTTTTCCAGTTGCAATTGGGGCCAACTACTTTTATATTCGCTATTTCGGGCCAGAAGGACTTCGAGTCTCCTCAAACTCTCAGTTTCTAAAATAGTGGGCGGACTTCTCTAAATTCTTTCCTTAGCTGCTGTCTTGTTTGGAACTGGACTTGGTGTTTCTAGAATTTCTGTTTGCAGTTCTAATCTGAAAAAAAAAATCAAAAAAGAAAACAACACCTTTCCACCTCACCCCATCCCCGTACCCATGGGATCTCTCCTTTTGTTCATTATCACATTGTCCATTTTCAGGTTGAAATCTTCTCCCTCTCGGCCAATCGGCTTAGTCTTTGAAAGCTATTTACATCATTTCCCCTCATGTCATCCAGAGCACGGATCTTGCATGTAATCTCTCTTTGGAACCAGATTTTGCAGGTTTTCAACAAGAGTTTGCCTTAGTTGGAATATCTTTTCCAAGTTATGCTGTTTTTTTTTCAGTGTAATATAGTTGTCTGAAATACAGACTCTGAGGGCAGACGGAGCGCTGGGGTTCAGATCTCCGCTCTTCCCTTTGCTAACTGTGTGAACACAGGCATAAAGCTGGCCCCCTGCTTCTGTTTCCTAACCTGTAGAAGGAGAATCATCATAGCGCCTGTCTCACAGGGTCCTTGTGAGGAGCGAACGAGATAATGTGATTACAGCCTCCAGATGAGTGACTGACAGGACGCGTGTTGATTACTGATATTTTCACCCGACAGTCTCAGGATTTCTGTCTTCACTTGAGGGGGAATTGGGATAAAGAAGGGAGCTCCTGGAACTACTGAATTTTTACCCTCTAATACTGATCTTGTACTTTGCTGATTTTCCTAGATCTACAGCTACCTTGAACTTAAGTGCATCACGGACTGCCTGACCCGTAGTAGGCCCTTGCTGACCGTTGTTGAATCAGTGACTGTGTTCTCTGACGTTGTTACCACTGTCTCAGATCTATCACGCATTGTTTTGGCCTCAAGGATTTGGTCTGGGTTGAAATGTCACCCTGTTGGTTCAGGGCTCTTCTCACACGGAGGGCCAGCTCTGTGCTATGAATTCTACAAGCTGCCCCCTGACTGGAATGTTCTGTGTCTGTAGCTCTCGGGTGCCTGAGCAGGAAAGCTGATTCCTTCCTGTGCAGCCACTGAACTGGAGGTCGGGTCCCCACCTGGGCAGAGTCGTGACACCATCCCTACCTTTGAGCTGCTGCGACCGCCTTCAGGACCAACTGTCCTGTCCGTCAGTTGTTTTCTCTTGATAGGAAAGGAGCCTGGACGCCACCCCTTGTCCTCGTCTCTTCTTTGGGTTCTGGCCTGAAAGGACCTATTGGTTGACGCTGGCCATGTTTTATTTGTTTTACTAGGTGTTGTTATTTAACTGTTTCCACTTCATTGAATGTTATCTTTATTGATGCATCTGACACTATCTTTTCACTAGGTCAGGACACCCTGTGACACCTCGGGTGGGTGACTTAACCATTGGGGCCTTAGTTTTCTTTTCTGTAATTGAAAAGAATTGGCCTGTACCATCTCCTCGGTCTATTCCGGTGCTAAGGTTTTATGAGTAAAGACTAGGTAGATAAAGGAGACTCCTTCACCTTTTTCTTCTCTTCCCTTTTCTCTGATTAACCCCATGAAAGTTTGTGGGAGAAGAGAGGATGGTGTTAACTTCCCCCAACTTGACTCCTAAGGAATTCCTGTGCTCAGATAGGGTTTGAAAATTCACCTCGTCCAAGGAGGCTGGCAGTTTCCCCCAGCCAGGCTACCAGCCACTTCTCAAGACATCAGCCTGCTCCTTCTCCTGATTTAGAAACTAATATTAATTTTCTGGTGCTTTCTCCTAGCAAGCGATGCCTAAATATTGTACTGTGCAGTGTACATAACAGCCAGGGTGATTTTTCAAAAAGTAAATTTTTTCTTGTCATTCCCACATCTCCCATGTTTTCCATGTCTCTCTTGCTCCATTGTCCCAGCCTTGCTGCCTCTTTCTTTCAGTTTCTGGAAAGCACTAAGTCTTTCCTGCCTCACGGCCTTTGCACGCCTTTCCTCTGCCTGAGATATTCTCTCCTGTGCATCCCCCCCCGAACCCTCTTTTCTTCCTTCACTTCCTCGCATAGCTGACTCCTTCTCATTTTTCAGATCTTAATCTAAATGTCGTTATTCAAAAGAGCCCTCCCTGGCCACTCAGTTGAAAGCAGGTCATTCCTATAAATCCTTGTCGTAGAGTCTGTGCGTTACACACACAGCTCTAATTGTAACTTGTACATTTTTCTATTTTGTCTGTTGTCATATTTATCGTCTGCTTCCCCCATGAAGCTGTAAGCTCCGTGAGGACAGGGACCCTGTATTACTTTATTACCAGTGCATGGCCGTGCCAGGCATGCTATGCCTCCTCACTGAAGGCCTGTTGGACGGATGGAAGAGTGAGTGTGATTACAGCATCTTCAACAATATGATCTGTGTTTCCTGTTGACTCCTTAGATTTCCTATGCCTCGTCAGCTAGAAAGATAAAACCCAGTACCAGGATGAAAAGAACATTTTATAAGGTAAGTATTCCACATCCTTGTTTTTGAATACTTTGTTTTTTAAAATATAAAAGATTTCTGCTTTCATATCTCTACTTCATCTGCAGATTGGAAGCGAAGAGATCTGCAGAGCAGTCAGGGAACTGGGTATCCTTCTTTCCTGGATTAAACAATTCCTGGAAAGCATTAAGCAATTCAAGAAGCCAAGTGCATTGATTTGATTGTTATTTTGAAATATAATGAGAATCACCAGAAGTAAATTTATAACAGTGTGTTTCTTTTAAAAAATTATGTACATAGTACTGACAGCAGGTTAGATGATTCAGAATAGACTAGAGGAATTTAACATCATAAAGTTTTGGAGATAAGCAAATTGTCACTACTATGTACATTTTCTGAATTTTTGAAGAATGCTTTCATCATGGACATGTTTTGTTACTCCCGAGTACATTGTATAAATTTAATTTAAAAGTGTATAACCAGAATTAACTCATGTAACATTTATGGAGGGAAAATGACAGCTTTCTGGGATACAATATAATGGTACTGAGATTTAAATAGATGCCCTGTATGTGATTATTATCTACTTAAGGGTTTGATGGGTATTAATTATGCCCAGTGTGAACTTAGCTGCTAATAGATTTTGATTTTAATTAAATAAGCTGTGTTTCCTTCTCCTGGATATCCTTCCTATGACAGTGATTTCACTGAGTGCATTGGGTAACAACAGATTGACCACATAGGACACACATGTAGACTAAGTACTGGAAATGGTTTACTAGGAACGACTTTGACAGATAACCCAAGCCACAGAAACTACAAGTAGCCAAGAAGAAATGATGCCTAACTTGCTAATGCTCCTTCGGGCGCTGAACAATTAGGAAAGTTGATAGAGGCAAACAGAAGTCTAAATGCACCTCAGATTCCACCACAGAAAAATTTCCATAGTGTTCCCCAGACCTTACTTGCCCAGCCAGCCCTTCAGTTAAATGAGTAATAGGGCCTGACCATTGTTTTCCATTTTCAGACTCTACTTCATGGCTATTGGGCAGTTTCAGCCAGCAGCTTGTGTGATGGCCAACTCACTTTCACAAAGCATCGTCGTGCACCCGCTGCTCACCGACAACACTGTGATCTGGTGTGTTGTGATGTGAGTGGGGGTGCTTCCTGAAGGCCTTAGTGGATTTTGTCCTCAGCACCTCGTCTCTTCACTGCTTTCCCCCCATCCAGGTCTTCTTGTCAATCATACAGTCATTTTTCTATTCACGAAGGGCCACCCTGTCTTGATTTATCTCATATTCCAAAATTGCCTCTTTGTTCCCTGTCCCTCCTCCTTTCTGCCTTCTCCATCAAGCCCCTTAGGCCCCATGTCTTATCTCTAGTGGGGACCTCATTACTGGACAAATCCACAGGGAGGCAAAGGTGTGGGGAGCAGAGGGGACTGGCCCCGGGGAGACTGGAGGACCCTCTTCCTCACGTGCTGCTGATCTCGGGCCCCCAGTGCAGGCTCCGAGGCCGTCAGCAGTGGGCAGCCTTCCTTCTTGGGGAACACTTGGGAGAGCTGGTATCCGGAGGACCAGGAGCCTCCCCTGGGCTTTGCAGTGGACCTGAGAGGAGGCGGTGCACCCACGGCCTCTCATTGCCCCACTTCCAGGGCCCTTTGTCTTCCAGGAACAAACTCCCCTCACAGTTCCACTTCCACAGAGCCTGGAGTCTCCTCCGTTCTTAAGCTGCTGCTTTATTTAGGGACTCCACACATGAGAGGAGCTGCGAAATAGTCATTTGCTGGTTGGCAAACTTCAGGTCCTTATGGATAGAATTTCCCCTGTGTTCCCCAATGCCTTTGGTTGACTGAATTCAATGTTTTTGTTTGTTTGCTTGTTTCCCAAATTCTTTGGTTTGCTCAGAACAGCCAAAAGGCTGATAAACTCAGTCCGAAGCACTATGGGAATTTACAAGTCATCGCCGAGTAAAAAAACAATATTCATGTTCTGGTGCCTATCTGCAAGCAAATTTTTTTCAAATGCCGAGGAGAAAAGCACAGTTTTAGTGTGTTTGAGTAAAGACTGGTGTATTGAACAGGCAGCTAAAGAGAGAGAAGCTGGGGTCCTTGTGCACAGCGAGGGAACTGTGCTGGTGGGGTCCCTGTGGGCTCAGGGTCCTTCCCTCCGATTTATAGGTGCCACTCTGGGCTTTATCAGAACCAGAGACGGTTACAGTTTGGGAAATGGCCACATAGCCCCAAATGTTCATGGGATGCTCTATCAGCCCCAAAGCTATGGAGCATATTGCTTCTGATAGAGCCCTCCCGGATCGTACCTAGGAGACTAAATTCCCATCAAAATGTTTATCTGTCAGTATGTGATTAGAACTAAAGGAGTTGAACCTGTCCTTAGCACGGGGTGGAGCAGAGGGAGCCTGAGTACAGTGAGCAGCCTGGAGTGGTGGAAAGAGCCGTTAGTGGGGTCAAGAGACCCAACTAGTCCCAACCCTGAATCATCAGCAGGTCACTCATAGAAAATATCAACGCCCTCGCAAGCCGACCCCTCACCCCTCATCCCTTCCTCTACACCACTTCTCTCCCACTGGCATGCTTGTATTGACTTGTTTTTTATTGACTGTCTCCACTGTATCAGAATTGGCTCTGTGGGACAGGACTTCTGTCTGTCTGTTCCCTGCAGGGTCCCCAGCACCCAGAACGGGGCTTGGACACAGGGCTCTCGGTAAGCATGTGGTGAATGTGTGACCCCATGAGTGAATGGGTTGAGGCCTTGGCCCTGCTGCTCTCTTAGGACATGTGGCCAATGTCAGGTCACTTCGCCTCCGGGTCCTCCGTTTCTGGATTGGTCCTGGGTGAAGTTAGTAACCACGGGTGACCTATACAGGTATCTGCACAAGGAGGGACTTCCCTTAGTCCAGCTACGCTGCCCTCTCAGGGGCTCACACACTCTTCTTCTCTTCCCACCACCTACCCCCAAGGCCTGCTTTGCCTTGTTAATTTCTCCGGATGCTTTAAGGTTTCATTCAGACATCATCCTGCTGTTAATGGTTTCACCCATGCTTTTCTTCTTCACAGAACCTATCATAAATATGAATCCTCTGTATATTTAATATCTGTTTCTCCCACTAGATTGTCCTACTGTCTGATTCACTGCAGTTCTGCCCAGACCTTTATACACAGTATGTGCCCGATAAATATTTATTGAATGAATAAGTGAGTGAAGAAGTGAACTGGATTCGACAGCCTGTGAGGTTTCTTCCAGTTTGGGCACGTCTGCTGCCGTAATTTTCACTGGTTGGCGTGAACCGTGAGGAGTGTAACATGACAGTGCTTACCCCCTTGAGTCCTCTATGAGCACCATTTTATTATCTGCAAAACAGTGTATTTAAATCAACATAATTTTTACTTGCCCCAAATAAAAGGTACCTGTAAATAAATATATGACTCTTAAAATTGGTTACTGAACTTAAACGAACACGTTCTTAGCTGAAACATGTTCGTTTGAGTACCGTGGGGAATCGTGCAAACCCCAGGTGGAATGTGTCTCCTACATTGGGAAACACTGCATTATAATGAATTTCCACTGCCTCATTCTGGTCCAACTTAGAAATAGTTGCCAATTAGAACTTGGTCATTTTAACCTACCCACAGATACCAGTTTAGAAAAAGTCAAGCCACGATGTTCGGGTTTCAAACCGGTTTCAGAACTCCTGTCATTGTTTCCAGAGACGGAGGTACCACAGACGCTCACGCAGTCAGTCAGTCATTCCGTGGGGCTGATGAGTACGGCTCTCGACAGAGGAGGCTGGGATGGTGGCACAGCCCTCGTCCTTCCCCCGTCAGCCCGCGGGGTGAGTGGGCTCTGCGCAGGTAGCCGAGATGGATGCGGCTCCCCGGGGAGGGTCGCTGTGGGAGTCCCTGTTAGCGGTCAGATGCGTGCGTGGTGGCAGGAACAAAAGTAAAAGCTCAGCCAGGCTGAGGAGAGAAATAGAAAATCCCGAAAGCAGATGCAGAACTGTGCTGTGACTCCCCACACGTCACGAAGACTCATGAGAGTGGAGTCCTTCACTCGGGCTGTCAGGTGTTAACTGAGAGGAAGTCCAATTGCTTCTGTGAACATTTACTGAATGCTCACTATCTGCTAGGCACACGGTCATGGCTGAGGTAATAACGATAAATAAAACTCAGTATCTCTCCAGCAATGTAGGACCTAGGAAGAGAGATAGTAGACAAACAGTCACACGGTGAAACGCGAGCACTGACGGAGCCTCGTGGAAAGTGCGGTGGAGTGGCCATCAGGCCACGCTGCCCTGAGGAGTGGAGTTTGAGGTCGTGTATCCTGTAGGACTCGGCTCAGGTGTCGTCTCTCCCAGCAAGGCTTCCTTGGTGCCCTCCTCCCAGCCTGGCTCCCTGCTGGGTTCCAGGCCCCTCGCACAGCACGTTTCCAGAACAGCAGTTACCACGTCGTCTTATAGGTTTCTGCCTCCTTGCTCATCTCCTTCTTGAAGGCACAGCCAGAGACTTACTTAGCGTTGTGTCCTCAGTGCTCAGCACAGTGCTTGTCACACAGCAGGCACTCAGGAAATGTTTTTGGAAGGAAACAATGGCAAACAACAGTGGCAGTGAGGCTGGAAAGGGGAAATGGATTGGGGAGAAGACAGGAGGTAAAATTGGTAGAATTTGGTGACCAACTGGTTAAGGAGGGATGGGTGCAGAGGAAGCAGTCTGAGACGACTCTAAGGTTTTGTGTTTTTACTGATTTGTAGTGAACGAGGACTCAGAAAAGAGCATTGTAATGAGATTCTAGCATTTCCTTTTGGCCAAACACAGAAATGCTTTGAAATTTGGACTTCATAGGAGCATAGAATCTCATAATTTGAAAGGACCAGTCAGGCCACATGGTCCAACTCTGCATCTTATACTAGAACCTTCTTCGTAACACTGCTCCCATCTAGCGTATGCTTACATTGAGAAGAGCCCTCTGTATCTGTAAATAATCCTGCTTTTGGAAAACTGTTTCTATTGGTCTGAAATCTGTCCTCTTGAAACTTATCGTACCTTTCTCCTAGTTCCCAAACTCGGGGTTTAGAGTGATTCTGACCCGCCTCCTACAGGACAGGTGGAGTCGTTAGGAGGATGCTGGGGAAGAGGAGGTTCTGCCCCTTCCTCTTAAAGGCTCAGCTGGAAGTGACGACCACCCTCTGTGCGCACAGACCAGGCCAGAACTTAGTTACAGAGTCACAGCCAGCTGCAAGGAAGTGAAAATGCAGTCTGGATTTGGGGTAGCCACGCATCCAGCTAGACATCGAGGGCTCCCTGCTCAGAGAGAGGGGAGAACACTGTCAGGTGACACAGCCACACAGTCAACATTTGCAGACAGCGCTCATTTCCTCTTGCTTCCATCTCAGCTTCCTCCCCTCCTCCCACCTGGTCTCTCTCCAGGCTGAGCAGCTCCGGTTCCCCCTGTTCTTCTGTCATGGTTTTGGGTGCTTTCAATGGCTGGAGCAGATTCCCTTCCAAATGCATTCCCAGCTGTTCTTGACACAGCCTTGCTGGCTTCTTGGGGCCTTGTTTTCTCAGAGTCATTCCCTTGCTTTTCTCTTTTATAGTTTATTAGGGTTTTAAAAAATCATATAAATAATATACGCTTCCTGTAAAATTGAAACAATACCCCAGCATATAGAGAAAAAACAATCGCTTCTCTCTGCCTCCCTACCTCTGCCTTCCCGATGATGCCAGTTTGCTAGGGCTCTTCCCCAAATTTTTGTATTTTTATCAACAACAACAATAAAAATAATATGCATAGATATCTTTCCCTTTTCAGAAACAAAAATGGTATCACGCCCTTTATTCTATCCTTCAACCAGCTCTTTCCACTTAACGTGTCAAGGACAGCCGTCCAAGTATGTATGTATATACATCAAGTTCATTTTAGTAGCTGCAAAATATATTCCGTGGAATGTGTGCAGCAGACTTCATTCCATCACTCCAGTCTGTTGTTTTGGTTTTTGGTCCATACAAACAGGCTATAAGGAGCATCCCTGTACGTATATCCTGGTCTGAGCTTTTATTTTATAGGAGTGCTTTCTAGAAGCAGGATTGCAGGGTCAGAAGATATACTAAATACTGCCACATTATTTTTCATAGCTCTTGTATTGCTCATTCCCCCCATTCCTGCCAGGACTGGATCTTATTGCTATTTTCCATTTTTGCTGGCCTGATGGTTGAAAATGGCATCCCATTGTTTTAGTTTGCATTCCCCCAACAACTTGTTAAGTTGATCATCTTTTCATGCGTCTATTCCATTTACACTTTCTTTTTCTGAGATGTATACCTCAAAATGTCCTATGGGCCATTTACTTAATAATAAGTTTGCAATCTTACCTGAACCTAACTACAAACACCTGCTGCCTAGGATGCTGGAAACCCTAGCCAGGGCTGGCTCCTAACCTCAGCCTCTGTGACAGGATAGAAACTCTTACAAAGGAGTGGGTGAAATGGCTTCCCAACCATGCGGTTGCATTTCCTTTAAACGGAACTGTTTTCAAAGCAGTTGATTCGAAATGAGGCTCTGGTGATTTTCTGTTTTCCACTTCCCCATATCATTTGTGAGTGCGTCCCGCCTAGTTTAGCCCAGGCTTACAGGGGCTTAGCTGAGGAGGCACAGTCGGGGGCTGGAGACGAACAGCCACAGCGTCAGTAGCCTCTGCATGGTAAGATGATATTTTGAGACTCAGGAACTGGAGAAAGCTTTCTCTTCATAGAAATCAGGCCCCTCTACGCCTTTTTAGCTACGATAATTTACAAGATTTGGTGATAATTTCCTGCAAAGTACAAGCTACAGTGGATGGTGGCGTCTCAGCTTTTCATCCATGTATCATGGATGGGGCCCTACCCTGGGGCTCCCTGGTTGCAATGATTGGTGCAAAATTCAGGAATGGCCTGTGATCCAAAAAGGTCCAATCAACGTGCATTCCAGGATTTGC